AAGGCTGCGTCTGCTTTTAACAAATCTTCAAGCCATGGTCTGTTGTGTACCATGCAGCGGCAAAAGTGCGCTTCTTTCCTGAAAACAATCTCCCTGGATAACGATCCAGCTTCACCTGCTTGGGTTTATTAACCCCAAGATCATCGCTAACTCAGCCCCGGGGTTTGCCGAGGTCAAGCATGTGACATTAAGGCGTGCTGCTGCAACGTCAGATGCAGGGTCGCCAGCAGCACCATCGGCTGCAGTTCTTTCATCGCTATTTCGTTTTAATAAATCCTTAGACCTTTTAAGCCAATTTTTGATGTCCATTTGTAATTCATACAGAATGCACAATAAACAAATCCAGAATAGGCGGCAGAGTGTGACGCTGTGATTGGTCTAAATGGGGGCGAATCACAAATCACAACAGACACATGCATTTATTTGACGTAGCCTGGTGCCTGCGATTTTTTTTTTAGTTCTGACATCACATACATCGTAGCATAAGAGTTCACAGTTTATTTATAATTAAAAAAATAAAATATATATATTTTTTAATTTTTATAAATAATAAAAAACGAATCAGAATCAAAAAAAGCTTTTGAAAATAATATTATATTTTGATTTAGGTCAAAATATAATATTTGTAAACCTGAAGAGTCAGTGCCAGTGCCTCACCAGCCATGAACCTCACTGCAGAAGCTATAGACATCTTAGTTTTTTGTGCCCCACCACTTTTGTACATATAAAAACGCCACTGAATGTGATATGTTAACAAAGGTCGAACGTTTTGCCTGCAACATTCAGAGGATGTGTTTTGGACGTTGTTGGGTAATACATTAACGATGTTCTTTATAAAACGTTCCCTCAATGTTACATGATAACAAATGAAGAATATTCTCCAAGCAACATTCTGAAAATGTTTTCAGGATGTTATTGAGGCCTGAGATGACAAAGTGTTTTATAAAATGTTCCTTTAATGTGATATGTTAACAAAGGTGGAACGTTTTGCCTACAACATTCTAAGGATGTGTTTTGGACGTTGTTGGGGTAACACATTAAAGATGTTCTTTATAAAACATTCCCTCAATGTTACATGATAACCAAAGAAGAACATTTTGAAAGCAACATTTGGATAATGTTTTCAGGAGGTTATTCTTTCTTTATAAAACGTTCCTGTGATGCGAAATATTAACATGGTCATGGTCAACGTCCGATTTATTTGTAGTGCGCTTTAAAAAACAAACTTTGTTTGAAAAGGATGTTTAAAAAGAAATCTGATGTCACCACATTTTCCTTTTTTTAAAAAAAACAAGCATGCAATTCATGATATTGCATGTTTGCGTAGGCATGTCTGAGTTCCCAGCTAGACATTGTTGGTTCTAAAAACATTCTGAGAATGTTACCATTCATTGTTCTAGGAATGGTTTCATCGAGAAGTTTTATTTTGGTTCCTAGAATGTACTTCTGAAAGGTAGGATAACGTTCTCTAAAAACATTCTTAAAATGTTTGGTGATAACATTGCTCGAATATTATACCCCAAGTGTTTTTGTTGTTTATGCACATATCTCTATTGTCATATGGATCGAATAACACTTAGAAAACCAACAGACATATAGAAGAACGGACCGACTATCACTGCCCATCCCTGAAACCCCTGAGGCCTGTACTACGAAGCAGGATTTTCGCTTAGCGGGCTAACTTCAGGGAAAACTCTGGGTTTCCGGTCCTACGACGCTGGTTCTCTTTTTAGCGGGCTAGATCTCCATAACTTATGCTGTGCGGCTAGCCTGCTCCGGATCAGGTTTGGTTTCAGGCTAAGAGATCAACTCAGTGAAAGCACCGCCTGCTGACCAATCAGAGCTCCGTGTGCAGAGTTTAAAGCGATCAATTCATATTACAGGAGAAAGGAAAGACGGCCAGCAAAAATCACCGACTGTGTGTCCCATTATCATTCATATCACATCATATCACATCATAATGTATCATAGGCTATATTTCCTTATCTGAGTCAGCTTCTTGAGCCGTATCTGGCCGTGCAACACTCATAGTGTCACATTAAAACACTTTTTCTTTTACCAACTCTATTCACCTTGCAGGTGCAGCTATGTGGCTTTTATCCTGGATAAAGTGTTTAAGTCATGGATGTTTAAAGTTTAACGTCTTCATATTTGACTAATATTAAAGTTCACTTTTCATTCAGGAAGTATGACGCTGCGCTGTCAGTATGCTTCTCCCTGTTTGTGATTGGTCGAATGCTCCAAATACCACCCCTTTCATATGAACGCGCACCTAACTAGATAGGACACGGCTGGCTTGAGCGATCCACTTGATAACCAGCGTCGTAGGACCGCTAAGCGAGAGCGCGTATGTTTTGGATTAGGCCAACCGGCTAACTCAAACATATCCAGGTTATGTTGAACCGGCTTCGTAGTACAGGCCTCTGTTAGTGTTTGTATGTGTTTCTACTGTGTGTCTCTCTCTCTCCCCCCACCTGCCTGCTGGTCTGCTCTACACGGCTGGGAGCAATCTCCAATCAACCACACCTGCAACCTGCTCATCAGCCACACTATGAAAGCCTGCAGCCTGCACTCATTCCCTGCCGGATTGTTGCCGTGAACGGTTTGTTGCGTGCCGCTCTCGCTTTTTGCCAGCATATTCTTTGACAACTTTGCCTGCTTTTGCCTCACACTCATTTTTGTGTCTCTCCCAGGAGGAATCCAAGGCCTTCCACACTCCCAAGACCAGCCAGGCCTCTCCACCCTGGAACAACTGTTTCCCACTGCTGCCATAACCAACCTCCACTCCCAGCTCCCCTTTTCTAATAAACAAATGTTACTTTTACCAGCTGATTCAGAGTCATCCTTTTACATGTGTTAATAGTCAAATTCCAATAGTTAAGTAAACTATCAAAATCATCCTAATGACCACAGTGGTCAGTCCACTTACCCAGGATTTTTTAGTTGAACAATTACAGGAATATTATGTAAATTGTTACCACAGAACATTTGCATAATGTTTTAAACATAAAGCATGTTATCCTTCTCTAAAATAATAACATTATGGCAACATAGAAACATCTAATTTGCAGCTGAAAACGTTTTAAGAATAGTAGGGCATAATGTTCTGACAATGTTATCAAAAACATTTTAGGAAGGTTATCACCAAACATTTTAAGAATGTTTTTGGAGAATGTTATCCTACCTTTCAGAAGAACGTTCTGGGAACCAAAATAAAACTTCCCGGTGAAAACATTCCTAGAACAATGAATGTAACATTCTCAGAATGTTTTTAGAACAAAAAAATTCTAGCTGGGGAGGCACCGATGATCCTCTCAGCAGTGTTCACAACGCGCTGCAGGCTCTTGCGGTTCGATGCTGTGCAGCTTCCGAACCACACTGTGATGCAGCTGTTGAGGATGCTCTCAATGGCGCCTCGGTAGAAGGAGAGGCTGAAGCTCCTGCTCTCTTCAGTTTGCGGACGAAGTAGGCTTTCTTGGTGATTGTCGTGTTGTTGTTGCTCCAAGAGAGGTCCTCTGTGATGTGCACCCCCAGGAATTTGACAGGAGGGAGCCTCGTTGAGCTGCGAGTGTCACTCCACGGAGTTTACTCCGTCACGGAGGGGTAGTGTGTAGGGGTAGGGTGTAGGGCGTGGTTTGGGATTGGGCCTTCTTCATGGCCAGCCTTATCCTTTTTAATATTTTGATTCATTTTCAGAGGTTGGAGAAGTACTCAGAAGTTGTATTTAAGTAAAAGTAGAAGTAGGCTACCAGAGTGAAGGAATACTCTTACTCTTGTACTTATGTAAAGTTGAGTAAATGTGCTTAGTCCTTTTACACCACTTATTAGGCTATTTCTACCTCTTAACCTTCATTTTCCTTTATTGTTATTTGTTAAAAAAAAGATCACTCGTCACCGGCTTGGTCTTCAATATCAGGATGTATTTATTATCCTTGCAAGAATGGAAGTAGTCATCACACACAGGGCTGCGTGGGACAAATAGTTCCCAGAGTAGTGTCCTTGACATGCTTATAAGAGAGTGTTACAGTCAACAAGATGGAAGAATACTGGTTCAAAGCAGTATTCTGACATTAGTTAAGATTAGCTAAGGCCTGCGTAAGCAATAAACATGACAGTCATATGCCTATCTCTCTAGGGGCTGTGTCATCATGCCAATCTTAGGAACATAGCTATCATAACTTCAACACAGTGTCTGAGTGCCATCCATGCAGTCATACATCCGGCTACGTACACAGCTATGTAGGGTCTCTGTTATCATGTGCTACTCTGATATAGAAGGAACATTCAGTATTTTCCCAACTCGTTTTAGAGAATTATGAAAATCATATAATGTGATTAAAATGATCGGTTTGACCTTGTCTCGATTTTCACTTATTTGTAGGTGATCGTTGTCTCTATGAATCAATAAGAGGGCCTGGAAAAGCTGGAAATGGTACAGTGTTTATTTTGTGTTTAACATGGAGCAGTTACATGCAATGGTTGAGATGCTTTGGTAGGCCAGCAGTGTTTAAATAAAGTACAGGAATTGTCCTTTGATGCTTTAATCCTTCTAACAGGTGCACGTAATGAACCAGAAGAGAGCCTTTACTCAAATGTGGCTGTAGGTACGGTCAAGTACAAAATATTTGTATACTTATACACATACATTTACTAGAAGCTTTTATTGTGTGCTGTGAAGCTTGTCCGTTTATTTCTTTGATACTACCACTAAGAGTCAGCAATGATCAAATCCACCAAATACAAATAGAGCTTTTACACTTGTTGTGCATTTCTATGTTTTTTTCATATACAGCATGTTGTTTTACAGACATGTTTTGGTTTAATGAAACATTCCATTGGCATTTCATTGTTGTATTCAATAATAGTTGGATGAAAAAGGGCTGATTGGAAGAATTTAACACAACTTGTCACGAGTGGTGATAGGAGAATATGACGATACACACTCTTGTACAGTAGGTGGCGGTATGCACCTTAAAGTTGTTTGCAATCCACCAATAGCTGAGAGAAGAAGAAGAAGAAGAAGACTTCTTCAACGGACACGCTCCACCATACGTGCGCGCTTCCGTGAATCTATAACAAAGATGGCGGCCGCCTTATCAGGTAAGCAGACTTCTCCGACAGTTCAGTTACTATTTTTCATCTATTTTGCTTACGAGGTACAACCCGCAGCATAATATATAAGTTAATAGTTTCGATTTTCCAAAAAAAAGTCCAGCTGCAGTGCAGGTTTACTGCGACAGGACTCTGTCTGAGATAAAAACGCTGTCTCTGACGATGCTAGCTAGCTCATTAGCTAGCTGCGCTGTCCAACAGTCCATGATCCACACGGCTTCTGCAACCACCTACATTTACAATTATGAGACTAGCAGGCAAAGAAAAGGCTACATGTGGGTTCAGTGCACTCCACAGATCACATTAGACTGGGCTGCAGTGTGTTAACGTCACTCTGTTCGCTGGGCGGTGCCCGGGACTAGCTTGATGGGTAAATAACTTAGCTTTCCGGAAGAAGTGTTCAGAATAAATAGTTCGTCACTAAAACTGACCCACAAGCAGAGTGTAAAGGATTTAGTTCTGTATTTGAGTACAATTTTGAGGTTCTTCTGCTTTACTTGAGTAATTCCATTTTATGTTACTTTCACTCCAATACAATTTAGAGGTTAATGGTGTACTTTTACTCCACTAAATCTATTTAATACCTTTAGTTACTTCACAGATGTGGATTAATGATGTGAAATCTAATCAAGTGTTAAATCAGACTTTAGTTCCACCTGGAGTAAAGTCCACCATCTACCCTGCAGTACACAAAGTCATTCAAACTAGCTGCACCTTTACCAGCTTTGAGAACACTTTCATGATCAATCATTATAATCAGAGACTATTCCTCCTACGCTCTGGTATTTCTACTTTACTTAAGTACAAGATATGAGTACTTCTAGCATCTCTGCCCACAAGGTAATTTACTTGACATCATACTCTTACAGCTTGTGTAATGTCAACAGCTGTACTGGTAAGCGGTATGTTTCTACATTTAAAGGTTTAGGAGGCAATTCCTTAAACACTTAAGTTTTAATGTTTGCCACCCCAAATCCAATGCCTCCTAATGCCAGCGCTGGAAATTAACTAACTACATTTACTCAAGTATTGGAGTTTTTTTATATATTTGTACTGCACTACATTTCAGAGGCCAATATCCTACTTTTTACTCCATTAGATGTATTTAACACACAGCTTCTTGTTACTTTGTACATATAAAAACACATGCTATGCTGATATGGTACAATGCAGTAATGTACTACTAATCTACACAGTATTTCAAGTATCTTCATTCGGTCCACATTGACCAACCACTACTCTATTATTTGATATTTATAAGGACAGGATAATATAATAACCATAATAATAAAATACTGTGAAAAGAGCCATTCTGCATAATGACTACTTTTACTTTTGACACTTGAAGTACATTTAGCAGGTAATACTTCTGTACTTACTATTATTCTGAAATGGGTCATTGTGCAGAATGAGTACTTTTACTTAAGAGTAATTATGAAATCAAATATTTACTTGTAGTAGAGTACTTAAAGACCAAAGTATTTGTGCTTTTAGTTCAGAAAAGGATCTAAGTACTTCTTCCAACACTGCCTAATGGTAAGTTGGACAAACTATAACAAATTGCGTCAGTCTGAGGATAACTGCTGCATACAAATAAGGCTCATTATACAGCCATTTGAAACACTAAAACACACAATCTAAGAAATGTAACCTAGTAGTATTCATTATTATAGACTGGGAGACCTAGATCAGAATAGATAATGTCAATTAGGGCTGTACCCGAATATTCGTTCGTTGGATTACTATTCGGGTTTCAATTTCGTTATTCGTTTTTTGAATTGATTGAAAACTCCAATATCAACGTAAGAGCTTGTGCCTCTTCGGGGGGTGCTAACACTTAACCATACACTTTATTGTTTACTTTCTCCGTCTTTATATGTAGATATGACGTTTCTCTGTTAATCTCCGTCACATTGTTTCCATAGCAACAACAACTTCCTGTCAACAGCGCTAACTCTCCTTCAAAACAAAAGCATGTCCATACAAAATAGGAAGCCACGCCAAATTACTCTTAAGACATACAACTGCAACGAAAGTAACAAACACTATGCGATATCCTTTTAAATTTCAAAGAACACAAATTGGGTTACATTAACAAATAACTATAAAACAACAATACTGTAGAATAACAAAATGAATGCCGTGAATACACCGAAATACACGTGTTGAAGCGGTTCGTTGCTGATTACTACCGAATATCCGGAGCCCGAAAAATGGTATTCGGGACAGCCCTACTGTCAATTCAGACTTCCTTTTAGTGGATGCCTCCCCCAAGTCAACTTTTGGAATAGGATTTTTCAATTGTTTACTACCTCTTTTTTCAGCTGTTAAAAAAAAGTTCTACCTGTTCAGATGTGCCAACATGGATCACACACTTCTTTCAACTTCCCGGCTCTTGCAATTTTGCAGAAAACTCAAATATTTGGTCTGTTTGAGAGTGAAACATATTAAGACTCTCTGATAGTTTAGCTTTAAATCAGGACCGTCTGTTAGGCGAAATTATCGAGTATGGTATGACGTTTCTGCGTGAATTTTTCTCCCATTGTGTTAATAGAGAGAAGTCATTAAATGTTCCTTTTTTGTGCCCTTGTGTGTGTGCATGCTTGTGTTTTGGAAGGCATCGTAGTTCCCCGCAGCTTTCGTCTGCTGGAGGAACTGGAGGAAGGTCAGAAGGGAGGTGGAGACGGCACGGTGAGCTGGGGCCTCGCAGATGATGACGACATGACGCTAACTCACTGGAACGGCATGATCATCGGCCCGGCCAAGGTGACCCCCCCTGAGTTTACAGCACCAATACATTACTCTGCTCTTCTATTCAATGGCCAATGGACTTTAAGCATTGCATTCGTATAAAACAGTGTTAAAGAAATGTCATTGTAGGAAAGACATTCACCACCTAACAGCTAACGATCAAACATCTGAGGATTTGAGGACGAGCTTTACTTGACCTTTTTATGGTATTTTTCTGCGTATGCAAAATATGCAATCATTATCAGGAATACCTAACACTTAGCAGCTGCTCTAACACATTGATTTATTAGATTTTTTTAAAACTACAGTGAAGTGGTAGTTTTCAACAAGAGTAAACCGGTGTCATTGAAAGGTAGTGTTATGATACTCTGTCATGTGATTCATGTCCGCTCTATAATAAATTGTATTTCTTTCGCGCTTTTCTTGAACCCAAAGACACATTTGGGAGGGAGGGTAGACAAACAAAACAAAAACAAAGCCTAACTATTCCAACTATCAAATAGTGCATTGATTACCATGCAGACTTCACTTATATTCTCAATATAATATATCATTTTAGACAAAGTGGTCTGTTACATTTACAGTAGCTATTGTTTCTATTAATATTTTCTTGTGCTTTTATGATCATCATGTCCCACATCCCAATTTTAAGACCTAAACAGATAAACAACACAAAATGAATCAACAACCACAAGAAGTGAAAATGACTGAAGTTTATTGTTAAGAAACAATCTTCGAGGGCATTAATTTGAAGTAATTGTATTTTAACTAACACTACATTATATATTTTAACACAGTGTTGCTAACTATTTTTATAATCTTACTAATATTACGCGTTATCATATTGTATAGGTTATAACTAATGCTGGCTTAAAACGTACAAGTGGTCAGCTGTTGTGTTAAAATATCAAAAAGTGCATAATTTCATTACCTCCCCAGCGAGTGTGCTGTGAAACACTGTAAAACGAATGATGTAATGTTTAGAGCTTGAACTATCATGCGCACATCACTTTTGGCTTCCCATTACTACAGAAGTTGAGGCTTTCGTAAAAGGCACTGTGGTAAACCTCATTGTTATAAGTTCTGTTGTTGCTCTCATAGGGATCATGTGCAGGTATATCAGCTGTGTGCAAACTGACCATAAGAGGGCTGCATGTAATTCAAATGAAACATGTCCCCTCTGCCTGCTGTAGGATAGTTACATAAGGCGCGTTCACACCGCAGTACTTTTCCTACTTTAGTTCCGATATAGTTCCGAAATGTTGCGTTCACACCAAAAAGAGCCGGAACTAAAATGAGTTCATGAGAACCTTTTCACCCCCTTTTCCGTCCCTGCTAGAGAGCAGGGACTTTCGTGGGAGAAAAAAGTTCCTATGTCTGATTGGCTGGGCGGATTGCAAACCACGCCCCGTAAAACTCCCAAATGGTTTTGTGAAGCCGCCATTTTATTATCCTCGCATTAGCATTATTAGCATTAGCATTAGCCCCGCGCACAAACGCAGAGAGACTAACTTATGGCAACACAAAATAAAACTTGGGAGCGGTGGAGATGAGGAGGTGTCGGCGTTCTGGCGATTTACTCGGAAGGCTTCAGTAGAAGCTGCTGGGAGACCCAGCAGCTTCTACTGAAGCCAGTCCCCAACTCCGGGGACTTCGGGTGGCAGTATACGCCGTGAAGTGGTTTGCGGCCTCCCAGTAAACCCAAAGCAGAAGAAGTGACGTCAGCGGCTTCATTTGCCTAATCCTCCCCAGGGAATTCATTCCGGTGTGAACGCGATCTGAACTTAGTTCTGATGAACCTTTGTGGGAAAAGTACTGCGGTGTGAATGCGCCTATAGAAACTGCAGCAGGAGCTTTCTTTTTTCCTTTTTTACAAGTCTTTTTATTTCATTATAGTGTACAGTAATCGATGCCATTTCATTTATATTGTAAGATCACAGTACACTCACTACACTCCCTCCACCTGCAAAAAAATGCTTATCAATATAACTTAAACAACAGAGCCATGAAAATAAACATAAAACGGAAATAAATAAATAAACCCACATCAAAGTAAAACAAACAAATAATTATACAATTAATTATATAATACAGCGACAACACAACTAGTATTTCTGGCCGTCAGGAAAAATAGCCACAGAGTGCACCATTCCATCACTGGTCATATCTCAGATATATTTTCCAAATAAGAAAACAATGGCAACCACAGAGCTTGAAACGATTATATTTTTCCAATGTCATTTTCTCCAGAGGTAAACAATGTGTTATCTGATCAATGAAAAGATTAAATGTTGGAGGACGTTCATTCTTCCAGAGTAAAAGTATACATTTCTTGGCAAAATATGTTATTGTGATTAGTATTCTGTAATGTTTGGCATTCAGTTTAAAGTTTGGCATGTCATTGAACAGGAAAAAACATGGATTTTGGCTCATTTCGATGCCTAAACTGCAGCAAGAGCTTTCTTTTTGTGAATAGAAGCTCTGTGATGGAAGATGTGTGATGTTCTTAGAGCTACATTTGTTTTTCTTTTGGTGGGACTTCCATGATTTAGCCTACTTTCTGGAGGGTTAAGAGAATGTAGTACTTTTTGCAGTATTGAGCCAAGCATCCTTCTGATGGCAGTAATATTGTCTCTAAGGTGACTATAGCATTTGTAGCTGTATCTCTGTCTAATTTCCAATACACTCAGCTTTCTCTTTGCAGCCGCCTTCACACACTCATAGATAACATCTGCCTTACTGTTCACACAGCTGACTTCTCAGGCTAAATCAAATGTCATGAACTGACTTCTTTAGAGATACGTGGTTCTCAAAGGATAGCACAGCTACACACAAATCATGACCTGAGGACATACTGCACTGTAGATAAAACTACCAAACAATATATTAAGAGTATTAAGGAATATCCAATGAGTTCAACTCTTAACGGCAGTAAAATGCAAACACATATTAATATATATATATATATATATTGATATAAAAAAACATCATGTATGAAAGTAAAACAATGAACATTTTACTGCAGAATGAATAGCTTTACCTTTTGCTGATAATACTTGCATGCCTTTAGCGCATTCAAGTTTTGAGTGTAGGACCTTAGATTGTACTGTTTTCACAATGCGGTACTAATACTGCTGTCAAGGATCTGAATACTCCTTTCAACACTGTTAAATATTCATCATTCTGTAAATATTCAGATGTGATTAGGTAAAGCTATAGAACAAGCATGTAAGGACACATGAGTGGACATTGTTATATGTACTATACTGTTTCTATACTGTAATACACTGTCATTGTTATATTAACCACTGTTTAACATTAACCCAGAGGAGTTCAGATGAGTGGACATTTCCATGACCAGAGCTAACCTGTAGTCTCTCTTTGATTGCAGACCGTCTATGAAGGCAGGATATACAGTCTGAAAATAGAATGTGGAAACAGATACCCAGAATGCCCCCCCCATGTCCGCTTTGTGAACAAGATTAACTTGAACTGCGTACACAGTTCAAATGGTTTGGTAAGTATCCACATTTCCCTATAGATACACTCTCACCTATTAAGTCAACATTTCAAATGTGATCATTCATTCCAAGTGTTTATTTGTGTTTTGTGGACTGAATTAGAACCGTGCAATATACTCGGTGTTCATACTGGATTTTGAGAGATTATGCTGGCTGGACCCTAGGACCTAGGCATTGAAAATGTCATACATTTTAAAATAATAATCTGGTGCAGTTTGAGGGCAACATAAGGAGGTTATTTATTAGAAAGAATTGTGGTTTGTAATGATGTGCTCTCCAAACGATTACATCATAAACACATGGGTAAATATAAAAGATTGACTAATTAAATTCACTATCCCTGCCTATACACGCACAAACATGACATCCCAATGCAGCCTGACCAAGTGGGGAAAGTACGGCCAAATGAGTAGGACAAGTAAACGGTATCACCATGTTCTAGCTGAGAAAGGAGAGGGCCTGTACCCACGACATGAGGAGTGCTCTGTCTCAAACTACTCTCAGGTTCTAGAGCCTGTTTCAAATGTTCTAAAAATGTTTTTTTTAGACCAAAAAGGTAGGAGTCATCAAGTTAGGACTTTGATATGACCCGTTTTTTGGCTTTGTTTCTAATTTGGCTATTTAGAGCGACCTCTAGCTTCTGAAATGGTTCTAAATCTATTTTGTTTTAAATAGTTTGAACTCATTCCCAACATGATCATTGGATAATATATACAACCTTAGCGGCACCATAGCTTCCTTAATGAGGCCATAATAAAAATTCCTCCTCCTCCTCCTCTTTCAGGTGGACTTAAAGTCGCTGTCAGCACTGTGCAGATGGAAAAACTCCCACAACATCCGGATAGTGCTGCAGGAGCTCAGACAGCACATGATGATGAAAGAGAACAACAGGCTCTCCCAGCCGCCCGAAGGCCAGGTGTTTAGCAACTGAGGCGCGCGCACACACACACACACACACACACGCACACACACACGCACACACACTCACTCAGTGACACACACTCAGTGACACACACTCAGTGACACACACACACACACACTCAGTGACACACACAAACACACACACACACACTCACTGACACACATACACACAGTCACTCAGTGACACACACACACACACACACACACACACACACATACTGACACACTGACACACACACACACACTGACACACACACACACACTGACACACACACACACTGACACACACACTCAGTGACACACACACACTCAGTGACACACACACACTCAGTGACACACACACACTCAGTGACACACACACACACTCAGTGACACACACACACACTCAGTGACACACACACACACTCAGTGACACACACATACACACACTCAGCGACACACACAGCATAATACTGTGCTACTTTCAAAATATACCACCATCATGTTTCCAAGACTCCTCTCCCACTTCCTCCCTCAGAACCCTCCCATTGGACGTAGAGGGATGTGCACCCAGTGCCCATTAAAATAAATAAAATAAAAAACCAGAGCAGACATTACAAAACAAAAATACCGTGCATCTTACTAATGTTCTTTTTATTATCTTCATGTGTGTTCTACATCCAGATGATGACATATCACAGATCCTGATTGAGTCCACCAGTAATGTGTGTGTGCTGGACTCTTCACAAGTGGTGTCAGTTAGTCCCTCTTATATGGGTGTTGTGGTGATGGGTTTGAATCAGCAAAACAAATGTACTTCTGTCACTCCCAGCAAAATGTTGAATGTGGGCTCATTCTGCAGCGTACCTCAGCACCTTGCAGAATGCTGAAACAGATTCCCTAGAGACGAAATCTTGCACCCACCACGATGCTTTGCTTGGTCTCCCAGGCTGCATTAGTATGTAACTCCCCAGCTTCCGCAATCCCGACGATGTGAATTTCACGGGCCTTCCTTAACAGTGCATGTCCGGTACATGGGAGCAAACTGCTACTAGACCTTTAGCAACGTATGTATCAACAGCACTGCTGGCTCATCACTCATGTTCTCAGACTTGTCCTCTGTGTGCCATATGGTTCATAGTGCTTTGTGATTGATTATTAGCAGCCAGTGGGGGGGGGCTACAGTTTCTTGTGCTCAGGATCACCACTGTACTGTGGCCTGAGCCGAGCAGGAGGAGGGGCTGCGATTTGTTGTGTTTTTGGTTTCTTCAATTTCCAGGCTGACCTTCCTGTGTATACTCCACTGAACGCAATGTACGGCTTTGGATGTTTTATTTGATAACAGGTTGAATCTAATCAGGGTAATGGTGACCTGTTGCATGGTTTTATTTGAATTAAACGTTATTACTTTTGCACGTGTTGTGTCGTTATTCTCAAGGGAAACATTTCAGTACACTTTTTGTTTAAGTCAATCTTAAAACAATAGTTGGGTGTCCATATGAGTGTGGAAAGAGTTTTGGGTTGCTGATATCATTCTTCCTGGAAAAAGCAAGATTTCTTGACATGTATCTCATATTGGGACACAAGGTCCTACAGTACTAATACAAAACACTACAGTACACTCCATACCAGTTACATATATATATACGTCTTAAAAACTCTCCACTTTGTGTAATATATTGGCTTTCTAAAAGAGGGATCTTTTTTCAGATTTATAACAAAGCTAATCCAGTGGAAATAATTTATTCAATTTACAGAACAATACACTGACTTTAAAAAAAATATCCACATCCTATATTTCAACTCTGAAGTGCTTTGTAATTTTACTTAAAATATCAATGGTAACTAGGTTTAGGTAACAAAATGCTACCTTCATGCTAACATCCACTCATATACACACGGACCATAATGTGTTGGGAAAGCCAAACCCAGGCAGGCGATCCCACTTGCTGCCTTTCTGTTTCTGATCTGCATCTCCGCACTTTCATTCATGTTACAAGCCTAAGTAAGAGAGACTAGACACCCGGCAGAATTAAACGGTCCCATCCATCACATGACGGATTAATTGGAAATGGGGGACCCTGATGTAAACAAGACGAAAGTCTTTCTCTGGTCTGCATCCCCTTAACAATTGTATGTTTTGAGCTGTACTGTATTGTACCCAATATACAAGCTGTTAATAAACTTTTCAATCAATCAATCAAACGGTAAAGTAAGCTGTGGAGTTAAACGCTTCTTGTCCGTCAAACTGCCCTGACAGCACGATGCTGCTCTGAGCGGAACCAGACGCAGCTCTCCATCCAGCAGCTGTTGGCCTCCTCTCTGCAGGGAAACAAAGGGTGGCACGTGACCTGAGGCTGGGGGAGAAAAGATGAATCAATCACTGGCTGATACAGCTGGGTGCCCTTCACTCCCTTATACCATACACACACACACACCCCCTCTCTCTCTTTATGGACTTCAGAGAAACCATCAGCTAGATGCAGTGCTGTAAACCAGTGGTTCTCAAATGGGGGTACGCGGACCCCTAGGGGTACGTTGGAGTACTGCAGGGGGTAGCCTACGTGAGATTTATTTTATGTTAATGAAAAAAAACAAAATAAGTAATGCATTTAAACAAACTACTAATAGTAGATTAACTACTTTATTCAAAGGTTTACAGTAATTCTGGATAATAAAATGGGAAAAATAAACGGTGTGCTCTCTTTTCCTCCCCCTCTCCTGGCAGCCCTTCAGTCTCGTGCAGCTCGCTGAACCTGTAATACGTGACCCGACAGTAAAGAATACACATATTTATAACTAGTATAGCTAGTTCCAGAGTAAGTGTGTAGGTCTAACTCTTAGTGTATTTAATTTTGCTCCACTCAACGGTCCGCGGTGGAGCTGTGATAATGCAGAGCTGCAGCGTCAGCAGCAGCTGATCTGATCTCTCTCGCGTCCGGTTAGACTTTTCTCGCGTTTATGTCCAAATCTAGCTAGTTCTAGCTAATGATATGACTGCCTGCTTATCAAAGGACACCTTAACAATAAGCGTTGCTTGGCAACGGCGTGTGGCCACAAAGTATAGCGCAGCATTATGCATATGTTTATATGAGGGGTCAAAATCCCATGCTCATAAAATGCTCATATTTTTTTTTCTCTTCATTCCCCACGTCCACAAATAAATAAATATTCCAATTTTAGGAAAAGTAACGAAGTTTGAGCAGTGTGGGTTTTATATGAACAGAGTTAGCCTACACATATTTCAAAACGCGAAGTGTAATAACTGCAGTTTGCCTCCCTGTCAGAATGACAAAGATCCTCAGTGAAGCACAAGCCCATGTTTCACTACATTGTACAACTTATTAAAAAGATCAGTTCAATGCAACTAATGTCGTCTTAGTGTTATTGCATGATGTTGAAATTGGTTTGCCATGAATTTAGTGATGGATTGTAAACATTTGAAATGTAGCATTTAAGTGTTTCTCAGTTACAATGTTGTTTTAATAAATCAGACACTGAAGGTGCATCGCTGTACTGTACCTCTTTATATAGGCATTTTTTCCTTAACAAAATGTTTTTGCGCTGATCAGGGGGTACTTGGCTTTTTAAAGGGGGTACATTATTGAAAAAGGTTTGAGAACCACTGCTGTAAACAACCAAACTGAGTACTGAATGTCCCATTTGATATATGAATATGAAAAACTTTAAATCTAATCTTTTATCAATGACTTTTGTTATGTTTAGCAGGTGACATGCTTGCTGTCTGGGACCATCCTACAGTGATGCCTCTCAGAGTTTCACGTCAATCGTTCTGTGTGTGTTCAAGTCAGAATCAAATGAGTCAGGTGCCTCGATGAATGAAAATGAATAGTCTCATGCACCAGTACGAAGAAAAAAGATCACTGTGCTTGAGTATTTTATAAGAAGAAGACAAGGTTTGTCATGTTTCGTGATAGTATTGGTGTTTGTCCAATCAACTTGAGTAGAAGGTAATCACAAGTCATTCTTTTTCTAGTAGGACATAGAATTAAAGAGTTCTCCACTAACTTAGTATGTTTCTACTGCAAAGTTGGACATGATTTAAAAAGGATCAAATAAGAGCAGGCTGAGATATCCTGACTTTTAGTCTCAGGTATGGGACATGAGAAATACTCTGGATCCTATACTTCCAAAAATGCAATTCATTCATTCTTTGAAGGGTACTTTTTGCCAAAACAAATGTTAAGTCATTTTGGTTTTTTTAAGGACAAAAAGTTTAAATTGTCTTTATTTTTGTCACACATATTGTGCGTGGGAGTGGGCATGCTTGGCCAGTGTGTGTGTGTGTGTGTGTGTTGTTTGTGTGAGTGACCTTTGGACATGTCCTCAATCTCTCTAATCATATCTGCTGTGATGGATGTGTCCTCAGTCAGCATAACGATATTATTCAGATCAGCATCCTCCACCTGACACACTGAGGCTAACAAGTGGATTCATAAACGCTCAGCAACCTGTGGTGCTCTACAATCCCAGAGAACTATTGTTCGAGGTCTGTAGTGTTTCATTAATGTTCTGTGGTTTATTCAGTTAATACAGCAGAAGGGATGCACTGACCTCCTGTCATGAACAGGGAAGAACACAAAGACTACACCCATTGAAACACTTCATTCCACAATATGTGTGTGTCACACACCAGTAGGGATGGTGTTCCCATAACACCGTCACACAGAGAACAGGTCCTGCTCCTTCAAGAACAAACCGGTGACATGTACAAGCTTATGGATCTTTAAAGCAAAATTGAATATCTTGTTCCCTCAGGACAGCATCCTCTTTTCACAAGTGTTCAGATATTTTCCCTAAAACAGAATGTCTTGTTCCCTCAGAATAATATAACTACCTCTTTAGATGGATCTTGGATCTACCTAACTTCCTAAATAATATATTGTGCGATCCATCATCATCTGAACCCATTTATTCTTTATAGACTGAGCCATAAGCAGCACATGAGTTGTACACCCTACTGTGCAACAACATCCACATTAATATTAAGTCAAAATAATATTAATAATACCTTATTCTAGGAGTAACAGGATTTTTGCAATTACCGGTGATTAATAAATACAAATCTACTCCATCATCAAATGTTGAGTGTTGAGTTGTTATTAAGTTTCATGGATTAACTAGATAATGTTCAAGGCAGCTATTCTGTGCCACCATTTAGAA